TTTATTTTGTAAATATAAAACTTTATAGGAAATGAAGGTGACTGATAGACATACAAGGTTGACCATGTTACGTATCATATAGTTCTACAAGTCTTAAGAAAATAATGAGAAGTAGTTGTAACATACATACATAGAATGTGACATGTATAAGAAGAATATAATGATCTATTAAAAAGAAACGCTGTCTTAAAAAGCAGAGCACGACCCTCCTCTGAAAGAAATACTCCGGGGTATACTACATGTCTGATTCTGTCAGTCTCTGTTGTGTGAGCTGAGCTGACCTTCAGAGCTCATTTTCTCTAGAAAATAGCCCTAAAAATGCTTAGTGCTACTGCCTCTGAATTTCCAATCAGTGAGCAAATATTGCTTTTTAAAAGTAGTAATATAGAGACTAATCATTTACATTTTCATTATTACAACTATTTCATCACATAGTCTATGTCTAAAGTATTTTCTTGTACATTCAAGAGACTTGTGAGTCTTAACTACTATAGAAAGACTTGAAAGAGTATTCTAGATATGCAAGGTCTTCAATAAATTGGTAGTTTTTGTTCTGGTTTTTCTTAAGACCTTGCATTTTTGCAGCTTGTACTCTATGTTTGATTTCCCTCAGAACAGAATCAAGCACAAAGTTTTTGTCTCGGACAAAAATCAATTAAATGATGAAAAAATCATTTGCAGCAGAAACCCTAATTTTCTACATGAAGATTATGACTACAGAAATAAAGATGAAGAAGGCTGCTAAGGGATCAGAGGATTATTTTGAGAAAAGAAAATTGGCAATATTTTTATATAATCTTCTGTTTTGGAACATTAACATGGCATTACACCAGAAAATAAGAGTAAAGCCTTTAAAAATTGTTAGAATTTCAAGAAGTATTTATTTGAGAAAAGAGAGAGGGAGAAGTGGGAGAAGGACAGGATTTAGAGAGGAACGCTCCCATTAGCTGATATACCCCACAAGTCCCACAGTGGCTGGGATTGGGCAAGGCTTAAGCCAAGGTCACGGGACTCAAACCAGGTCTCCCATCAAGAGGATGGAACTCAGCTACTTGAGCCAGCACTGTTGACATACAGATCCTCATTAGCAGGAAGCGGAAGCCAAGAGCCGGATGGAAATGCTGAAGCCCTCAATTTCTTTACTATGGGACACAAGCATTTTATTAAGCTAAATGCCTACCTACCCTAAACTTTTGGGAAACAAACCAAAGCAAAACATCTAGAGAGAAAGACGTTCCAGCTGCCAGTTTACTTCCTGAATGTCACAGCAGCCAGATGAGCCAGGATGAAGCCAGAACTACATTCTCTTCTCCTAGGTGGGTGGTGGGCACTGAGTATTCGGGCCATCATAGTCTACCTTCCAGGGTGTGTAGTAGTAATGCGGGAATAAGGAGGCAATAACACACATCTGCTGACTTGCAAGTTGCATGCTCCTATACTTAATTCTACCCTACATGTCAAACACCCCCTTTCCTGGGATGCATCTGCCTTATCTGGGACTTAGGATGGGCACCATGAAAATATGGCTATTAAGCCCCTTGTGCAACTTGTGAAGGTAGCATAAAATTCCCAGGTGCTTTCATGCCTGCAGGGGCAGAAGTGCTGCCTCATAAAAGAGGCCAACGATGGGGGACCTTCTCTCTCTCTCTCTCATTGCTAGAAGTGTGAAGCAAATTGCCTTGGTCTCCCTTCCTCCACCCTCCTCCTCTTCAGGTAGTCATTTGGCCTGCTATCCACTCTGATGAGTATCTACATGGGGGATGAGCTAAGCTCCTGCTGGCAAATACATTTGCTTTCTCACCCTTGCTATCACCTGTGCCCCTTATATGTGTCTGCACCTAGAATGCTTGCCTCTGTATGGGACAAGAGCCAGTACTAAAGATTAGTATACCTTATCCCACATCATTAGAAGGAACTGGGATCAGAACTGGAGGAGCCAGGATTGAAATGAAGCACTTTAATATGGCATGTGGATCAAGTAGTAAATTAAGCTCTCTACCAAATGCAAACCCAAACCATTTTTAAATATTAGTGAGGGATAATAAATCTGTCAGAAAAATATATTCCGTTCTCATTCATGAGGTGTCTGTCTTGATATATTCTTTCCAATATCTCATATTAGGACAACTGGTATGCACAAAATCGATTACATTTTATTATCCTAAATTAGTTCATCATCTAAATATTTCTATAATATTTTGTCTCATTAGAACCCATTAACCTAGCTTGGAAATGCTGACTTTAGCAGAAAGGTTTATACCACAATTTCATATACAGCCTTTTCAGTATTCTGTATTGGCTCTCTTTCTTCTCTCTTTCTGTCCCCAGTACTAACTGTCCATTTTCTCTTTTATATGCTCTTGTTTTTCTACAACAGTAGTGTTAGAAAAACTCAAACACACCAATTAAGCCTGCAAGATTTGCCAGTTCTAAGTTTAGGAATCCAGTCCAAAAAGTTAATAATGATTTATTAAGTTTACCTTCAACCACAATCTAAATTCAAGGATAAATAGATAGGAATCCAGTGCTGAGGCAATAAGGCTTAAGCCAACTTACTGTTCCCAGTTCCTGAAACCACAAATAAATAAAATCCAATATCCAAGTTCTATATACACAGGTAGTATCTTGGATTTACTCCAGTACTAAAAAGCCATGTTTTGAAGCACTTACAATTTAATGAACTTCCCTTAGGGCAAAAGTGTTTAAAATTTACCTGCAGAATGCCATGCTGTCCCACCACAAAGCACATGCTACTGGGAGGAGGGCATTTCCTGCCAAGTCATTAGCAAGGGAAACAAGGAGAAACTTCATGGGCACCTGAGACCAAAGACCAAGCAGTGAAAACATGAACAGACATATTTATCCTCAGGACACAGACAACAAGCTAGATTTCTCTTAGAGCTCCTTTCCTGTTTTTACCTTATGTTGAAATCAGTTAATTCACATAGCAAACACAAACATGCTTAATAAGAAATTGATTAGCCTGGGTTCAGTGTGGTAAGCTAGTGGTTAAAGTCCTTATTCTGCACGCACTGGGATTTTAGTTCACAAGCTTGGCTGCCCCACTTCCCTTCCAGTTTCCTGCTGGTGGCCTAGGAAAGCAGTAGAGGATGGCTCAGTGCCTAGCGACCCTGCACCAGCGTGGGAGACCCAGAACAAGCTCCTGGCTCCTGACTTCGGATAGGCTAAGTTCCATCCATTGCGGCCACTTGGTGAATGATCCAACAGATGGAAGATCCTTCTCTGTCTATATGACTTTCCAAAAAAAAAAATTATTAAAAAAATGATTAGCCCACAGCAGGTAGCAAACAAGGAATAGTCATCTTAATTTAATTCTAGGTTGACAAAATATGGATAAGTTTTGGGCTGTCATCAGATAAACTATGCTTCAAGTTACACTGTATACCACTCACACATTTCTTCATTGAACCAACAGGAACATATGGAGCTCCTCAAACCCACCACGGGTTTCTCATTAGTTCAGGCCTTTGCACCTGTGACACAGACACCTGTCAACACTAATATTTCCCCCAGAGTTAACTCACCAAAGTCCCCTTACTTTCTGTTCATCCCCATCCCCCTTATCAGCCTTCATTAACAACTTCACCCTAATTATTTCTTTAGCTTAATTTTCCCATTAGATTTAGCTGCCAGAGGTCACTGACAGTACTTGGAACCCAGCAAGCAGTTAAAATTTCCTCCAAGACTAAATTCCACACAAAGACTTAAGAAGTCTATCAACAAATGCATCTCCTGCTCTCCTCTGACTCCTCCACTCACCCCGTGGTTGCACGCGCCTCTTCACAAGCTCTTCCCCTACACTGGAAGGCTGGGCGCTGCCCGCAACCCAGCTGATTAGTATTCACTCATCTTTCGGCTCAGAACCCAATGAGACCTCAAGAAAATATGAGCTGTTTTGTTACCACGCCCCTCCCTGCCCTGGATTTCGCAAGGCCACTCCCCACGCAGCAATAAACTTGGGGAAAGTTACCTCTTTCAGGACATGGCCCAGTGTTTCAAATCAAAACTCGTGCTTGTGACTCCTGCCAACACATTTTATCTCTAGCACTTACAGCAGTGGCTGGCAATTAAAAAGCAAGCTCTCAGATGAGAAAATGAGAAGTGATGACTGCAAGGTTCTCTCAAGTAACTAACAGCCCATGTAATTGAACCTCCTGTATTTATGATCCTGTTGCGTCTTAGGAATTGAGAGCATTGTTACAGCTCAAAGCAGTCTACAGTGATGGAACCCACACCAGAACTGAATCGATTCACTCTGTTGGTGAAAGTTGTCTGCAAGAAATAAAAGAATGTCTTCCTCACGCAAGAAAATACAACTCATAAAAAACACGATTTTGGAGGCCCTGGGGAATATCACCTAACTCAGAAAGCAGGCGCGTTGACAGCTGGCCTCCTTATCCTCACGGAGACAGCGTCACCATTTTCCCAGGTTCTTCGCCACGCTTTCCCTCGTTTTAGCCCGCGCCCTCCTTCACCTGGCGACAGCGGCCCGTGGCGCTGGGCCCCCCGAGTCCTCTCGGCCAGCAGAGGGCGGCGAGCCCGCGCAGGGACCGGGCAGGGAGCGGGCAGCGGAGCCGGAGGGCCTGCAGCTCAGGAGCTCCGCGCCGACACTTCAGGACTTGGCTCCACGCTACCCGAAGGGAAGCCCTTAGGGACACAGGGTTCCGCAGGCGACGGCAGTGACTTCCCCTTCCGCTTTCCCGGGACCCTCCCCCGGCCCCCGGCCCCCGCCCCCGGCCCCCTCTTTGTCCCTCCGGTCCCCTTTCCGCTCCTCGGAGTCCCCTCGAGGCTGCAAGGAGACCCTCAGGTTTCACCGCACGCGCGCCCCGCTCAGCACCTGCTCCTTCTCCTCCCAGCGCGCCCACCCTGATCCCTGGAGGGCTTCAGTGACCCCGGAAGTCCCGCCCCGGCCGCGAGACATCCCATTTCCCCCGCCAAGTTGCTCCTCTGTGCCCTCCGCTGGCGGGTTGCTGCTTCCCTCCGCACGGCGGGCATTTACTCCCCCGGCTTCGAATTTTCCGCCCTGGGAAGGTAGTCACAGAACATGGCTTCGTTTCTTTGCTCCCTGTGAACCTGGGAAGAAGGAGAAGGCAGGAATGCAGTTTGGGGGAACAGTGAAAAAGGAAGGGAGTTTGGGAAAGATCTGCGGTCATTCTTTTTCTGATATGCCATATGCTGAGGGAAAAATATTTTCTGCTTTTAAAGCTGAATACTTCTCTTGTGCCCTGAGTGTGATGTGCTCTTTATAAAGCTCAGTATGCTGTGCCGACATCTACTTCATAACGCACAGAAGTAGCACTTTGGGAAATAGTTTGAAGGGAAAGCTGCTTAGGATTAGCGTCTTTCTTTTGAGGAGGAGATGCTGTTGGAGATCAGTGCGGGGCATAAAAGCAGTGACATTAAAAAAAAAAATCATCCTTCCAATTGGTGTAGAGGTAATTTGGCCATTTTCCAGGAGTGAGGGAAGCACAGATAGGGAAGGTAGAGCTGGGCTGAATGTGACTGGGCACTTGTGTCTGTTGGCTGCCAGATGTTCATATTAGAATCTCATTCTCCCACACTGGGAGCAGGGCCTCATCTTTGACGGTTCCATTCAAAGGAATGCCTTTAGGATATTTGAAGATGCACCTAATGCGTGTTTATGATGATAAGTCCTTAGAGAATTCCTGAGAAAGGGTGGTGGAGGATTTGTCATTCTTGCCTGTTGGCTAGAAGGGATAGTTGCACTCTCTTGAGATAGAATTGCAAGGCAGTTGGAGTTGTCTGAAGCACATGGATTTTTGCTGCTGAAAAACCTGCAAAGGTTTGATCTAGTCCCCTAGAGCAGATATTTGGATAGAATTGTTGTAAATCAGGTTTAAGTAATAAAGGAGATTTTTCTAGCACAGAAAGCAATGTGCCACGGGACTTGAATACCAAATACTTGGGTACAGAGTTGTATATGAGAGCAAAAGAAGAAATGAGAGCCCAGTATGGCCTGGTAGAAAGAAATAGTTAGAATTATGTAATTCCAGTTTATTGTGATTTGGGCTACTTAAGCCATCTGAAGCCATCATGTGCTGTGGAAAAGGAAAGTAAGTTGATTAAACATTGATCTTGGAGAACTGTTTGTAGAGTGATCAGGATGCTAAGATTATTATTTATTATCTTTTCCTTGTTTATGGATTTGTGGCACTTCAGTCTTCCAAGGTCATGTACATTTTTGTGTAGCTCTACGATAATTTCTTCCTTAAATAGATTGAAAGTAGAATGTTATTTCCATGTCTTTTATCATGTTTTGTTACTTGCCTGTTGACAAAGAATTAAACAACAGGTTGAGAGGTGTGGGGGGAAAAAGATATAATCTTTCCAAAAAAATTCCTAAGCACTTTAGGAATTTGGGGGAGAGAAAAAGGTTGATGATTTTTGAAAATTCAGGAAAGGTTAGACACACACACATAAAGATCTGCTTTTCAGTACTGTGACTATGGATGCTAACAGGAAATGACACACACTTTTTCAGCTCCGCAAAAAAGCACGGCCTGTACACCCGTAGTGTTGGGAGTTTAAATGAAGTCAGATGAGGCTTTGTATTGAGATGTGTTCAGTGGTGTTAGGCAGTACATAATTCTGTTAATATTTGCATTTCAGTTACAGCAGTTCCCTTTGATACCTATATGTTTACATTTGTAATTAGCCTGAAAATCTAAAATAGATTTTCAGACTAAATTCAAAGGAAGATATTCAGGGGCTAGCATAGTGGTGTCTCAAGCTAATCCTCTGCCTGAGTTACTGGCATCCATATGGTTGCCAATTTGAGTTCCAGGTGCTCCACTTTGACCCTGCTTTCTGCTTATGGCCTGGGAAAACCACAGAGAATAGCTGAAGTCCTTGGGCCCCTGCATCCACATGGGAGACCTGCAGAAAGCTCAGGTTTCAGACAGTCCAGGCACTTGCCATTATAGCTATTTGGGGAGGGATTCATCAAATGGAAGACCTCTCTCTCTAACTTTGATTTTCAAATGAAATAATCAAATCTCTTTTTTTAATTAGATACTTGAATGTTCTGAGAAGCAAGAAGGTAGAGATGAGGCATAGGGCCAAGATACCTGACATTACTTCTCATGTATCTAAAAAGAGTTTGCTTTTACAAAAATCTAAACTTCCTCATTTCTTTTTGCCTCCATTAATATTCTGATTATTCACCTATATATATGACATTTCAAAGTACCTATATGTATAACTTAGTATGAATATCCCTTTTATTGCAATTACCTTTGTGATAAACCAAGAGCCATTTGGGTATATTTAACTTAATTTGCTTCCCATACTAACTTGCCATCTTAAGGATTAGCCTGCTATATATTTCTAAGTTTTGACTTGGCAAAAATTTAATGAGATGACTTCACAGACCTTGTATGGCCTGCATGCCAGATGTTTCCCATAATGTAAGCCAGAAATTGACAATGCACCGTAGTATGTCAATATTTAGAGGAACTTTAATAGTTGACTCGATCAACAAATACCTGATGTTCATTTTTTAAATCATCTGGATTTTCACAAAATACAGCTTCAGTTGTAATTATTCTCCTACTGCCATACTTGGCCCACTTCTATTATTTTCTTTCTATGACCTCTACCTTGTTTGGCATTCAGGACTTCCATTATCTACTCCTCCTGAAAGATTGGCTGAAGATTCCTTGCTTGCTTGCAAAAGCAGAGAGAGAGAAAGTGAGGAGGGGTGGAGAAACTGATCTTCTTTATATATATATATATATATTTTTTTTTATTGGAAAGGCGGATATACAGAGAGGAAAGACAGGAAGATCTTCCATCCGATGATTCACTCCCCAAGTGAGCGTAACGGTCAATGCTATGCTGATCCGAAGCCAGGAGCCCCTGGGCTATCCTCGACTTTTTTCCCGGGCCACAGGCGGGGAGCTGGATGGGAAGTGGGGCCGCCAGGATTAGAACCAGCACCCATATGGGATCCCAGGCGTGCAAGGCGAGGACCTTAACCACTGTGCCATCGCGCTGGGCCCAAGAAACTGATCTTCTATCTACTGATTTATCCCAAATCACCTCAGTGTCTGATACTGCACCATACTGAAGCTAGGAGCAAGGAACTCCATCCTGTTGTATTGTGGGTGACAGGTACCCAAGGACTTGGGCCATCTTCCAGTGCCTTCCCAGTTGCTTGAGCAGGGAGCTGGGTCAAAGGTGGGAAGCTTAAACTCTTATCTGATGCTCTTAGGGACATGAACTGGTGTCCGTATGGGATGCCAGCGTTACAGGTGGAGGATCAGCTCGTTGAGCCATTGCACCAACCCCACTTTCAGCTACTTAAAAATATATATATCATTCTATAATATTAAAAAAAATTATTTTCTGGGCCCAGTGCTGTGGCCTAGCTGTTAAAGTCCTTGCCTTGAACGTGCTGGGATCCCATATGGGCCCCAGTTCTAATCCCAGCAGCTCCACTTCCCATCCAGCTCCCTGCTTGTGGCCTGGAAAAGCAGTCGAGGATGGCCCAAAGCCTTGGGATACTGCACCTGCATGGGAGACCTGGAGGAGGTTCCTGGCTCTTGGCTTCGGATCAGCGCAGCACTGGCTGTTGCTGTCACTTGGGGAGTGACTCATCAGATGGAAGATCTTCCTCTCTGTCTCTCCTCTTCTCTGTATATCTGACTTTCCAATAAAAATAAATAAATCTTAAAAAAATTTATTTCCTGATTAAAATGTTCATGTGTACGTGAAAGAAAAAAATGAAATTCTTCCGTAATTCTTCTACATAGAAAAAGCTGCTAATTTTTAAACATATTTAAAAGATACTGATGTATTTTATCTATGGCATTAACTATATACAACCCAGTCTACACAATACATAGCAAAATAAAATTTAAACATTTCTCAACATATGCATTTTTTAAAGAATTTTAAGTCATAAAAATTGTACATCTTTTTGTGCTATGAATTTTTTCTTTCCATGTACATATTGTTTAATATCCAATTTAGGTAAATAAAAATGTCCTTTCAAACATCTAACGTCCTTTATAGTGAAAGCAGCCAGAATCTTATTTCATATATGCTTCTTAACAAAGAAACATGAAGCATACTCAAATATGAAGTCCCCATGCTCTGCAATAAAACCTCAGAACGTCTTGCTCCTGTTTGAGCTATAAGATAGTGTCCATCAGTCAACCTTTCCCATCTCTCCTTTCCCAGCTCCCTCCTCAGACTCAGATAACCACTATCATGTCTTTGGTTTCTATTACTTTCACCTATGTTTTATTTGCTCATATGGTCATGTGGCACTTTCCTTTCTGAGCTTGATTAAATTTACTTATTATAATGACCACTATCACATCTATGTTGTTTCAAATGACAAAATTTCATACTTCCACGGCTGAATAATATTCAAGTGCCCACTTGTGTTACATTTTTTTTATCTATTCATTGGTGAATAGGCGCTTCTTCCTATACGTTGGCTATTGTCAATAGTGCTGCGGAGAACTTGGAAATGCTGCTGTTATTTTGACAGATGGACGGGCAGGATTAGGATTACTGGATAGTATGGTAGTTCTGTTTTTATAGATTTATTTCATGTCTGTAAGTACACATTTATTATATGTATGTGAATGTGTGTGTATGGCTCTGTGCCATTTTTAACTTACCTTCTCACAAAGAGTATACAGGCGCTCCCTTTTATCCACATCCTTGCCAACACTTGTTACCTTTCACTTTTTTGATAAAAGCCAGTTTTACTGTTGGTATTGTAGTTGATTTGTAGTTTCTAAACAACCAGCAATGTTGAACATTTTTTCATGTACCTATTAGCCAACTATATGTCTTCTTTAAGAGAATGTCCACTAATCTTAAATTACAATTTATTTCTTTTCTGTTGTTTTATTTGCTTATGTGTACTTGTCAAATCTATAGCTTGCAAATATTCTCCCATTGTGGAGGTTATCTCTATTGATTGTTTTGTTGTGCAAAAGCAAGTTAGTTTGGTGTGGGGTCTCCCCCACAGATTCCTCTAGTACCCAGCTGCCAGAAGGGGTGAGCCTGCTGCCCACCACCCAGAGACAGATGGGAGGGGTTCTGTCCAGCAATTGTGGTTTATTTGGGAAGTACAGATTCTTATGTATGGTAAAGGATAGCCTTAGGCCAGGAATTTCAGGAATTCCAGGAGGGGAGAAACTAGGAGCCAATTACTAGCAGCAGGACTGCGGAAGCCACCTCCCATTGGCCAGGGGTAGGTGAGTGAAATGGCCCTGGCCAATCAGCCTTTCTTTGAAACAACATTACCCCTGCCCTGGTTCATGCCCAGGGCTCTGTCCTTGGCCGCCATCTTGCCCACCTCCTGTAACCCAGTGACCTTGACTGTTAATTACCATCTTGTTGACTTAGTGACCTCTGCCCCGAGCCCTACAGGTTGGTAATCCTATTCATCTAATTTTGGTCATTTGCTGTGTTTTAGGGTTTGATATAGAAAATCCTTGCCCTTTCTAATTTCTGATTCATTTTCCCTGTTTTCCTCTTATACTCTCGTAGTTTCAGACCTTACATTTAGGAATTGCATCCATTTTGAGTTGATTTTTTATATGGTGAATAAAGAGGTCTACTTTGTTCTGTATGTAGATATGTAGTTTTCCCCAACCGTTTGCTAAAAATGAAATACTTTTTTTTAAAAGATTTATTTTTTGTTATTATTGTTATTTTTTTATTGGAAATGCTGATATACAGAGAGGAGAGACAGAGAGGAAGATCTTCCATCCGATGATTCACTCCCCAAGTGAGCACAACGGCCGATGCTATGCCAATCCGAAGCCAGGAGCCTCTTCCGGGTCTCCCACGCGGGTGCAGGGTCCCAAAGCTTTGGGCCGTCCTTGACTGCTTTCCGGGGCCACAGGCAGGGAGCTGGAAGGGAAGCAGGGCTGCCAGGATAGAACCGGCGCCCATATGGGATCCCAGGCATGCAAGGTGAGGACCTTAACCACTTGCACCACCACGCCAGGCCCAATACTTTTTATAATATATTTCCTTGGTCCCTTTGTCAAAAATCACTCAGCTACAGATATGTGAACTTTCTTCT